GTATTAGTCAATTAATAGGTGTTATCGAGTTATAATTAAGAAAGAAGTCACACTAGTAATCCGAAGGTAAATATAAGTAATATTATAGGATTAAAGACGAAGAACTAAACTAAGTATATAAGGGAGTATCCTTATATATCCTCTATCTCCTACTCCTTAGGTGACTCCCCGATATACTCCCTAGGAGTAGGTGCGGGAGTTACTATTAGAGTCGCCGTATACTCCCTAATATACCCCCCTCGGGAGTAGATACGGGAGTTACGTGATCCTTATAAATAGGTTTTTATATATAAAAACACGTCTATCCCTTTTAGGGAGGCGGTATAGCTAGGTAGTGCTAATCGATTAGTTCTAAACGGCCTATCTATATAATATATAGGGTTTCGATTAATTAGTAACTAGTATATCTATAATATTACCTCCCCCTCCCCTAGAGTTTCGTCCTCGAGACTTATAAGGCCGCGGTTTTCCCCTAGGTAGGTATTATTTTACCTTCCTCCTCCTAATACCTTCTTTCTAGTATACCTATTTCTAATAAGGTACGTAAGAAGAATAGGTTATATTAATACTAGACTATCCTTACTATAGGTTCCCTTATCGATACCCTATACGAATATTATTCGAATAATTTTATCGACTATATTATAGATTCGGAGAGTTAAAACTATACTATATATACTTATTATAGTTATAAATATATAAAGTAATTCTATAGTAATCGTAAGTAGGAATTATTAGAGCGTAATCGTTAGAAAGTGGCCGCTAAGTTATTAGACGCTAATTCTAAGTTAATTAAGTTATAAGCCTATTTAAATAAGCTTTAATAAAAGATTTTAAAAACGCTAGCTTATTATACCTACCTCTATAAATAATAAAACTTCTTAAAAAAGCGTAGTAGTCGGATATTAAATTATAATTTATTAGTAATAGAGTAGTTAGATACTAAAGATCCTCTATCTATAGAGGATCTTACTAAGCTAGATCGCCTTACTAATAAGTACGATACTTAGATTCTTACCGCTATATTAAAGAGTACTACTCTAACTTAGATATTAGCGGGCCTTACTAACTTATCTCCCTCCTTCTAGGATAACTTATCTTTTACTAGCGCTATTACTATTAGTAAAACTATTAGATTAGCCGGTAGTAGCCTATTAGGTTCTCGATAGGCTCCTATATATCTTTAGTAAGATTATATTTTATCTATCTTACTAGGTAGTGAGTTTTTCTATTAATTTATTATATATCTAAGATCTCTTCGACCTTAAATTCTTTAGATTTATCTATAATATCCGCTTCTATAGCGATATCGATATTATCTAGTACTAGTTTAAGTAATATAATATAAAATACTAGGTAAATCTTTTATATACTATTTAGTAGTTTTAGGTGATAACTAACTAGTCCTAATTTCTTTTTAATTTAGAATAGTCCTATTTATAAGTAATTACTTAGTCGTTTAGTTTTAATATTTTATTATAAAAGATAAACCTTCTTCCCTTCTTTTAGATTAGGTCTCTTCCTATAAAGATAATTATAGTACTTTTTTATATATATATTAATAAAATTAATATCTTTTAATAGTTATACGTATAACTATTATAGCTTAGTAACCTTAATCTATATTAATTTAGCTATAGCTATTTTACTAGTTAGTTCTCCTATAACCTTAGGATTATATCTATAGTTAATAAAGAAAGGTAATTCCTATATTATAGAGTATATAGTATTATTATACGCTAATTATACCCCTCAACAAAAACTATTTGTGCCTGGACGGCCGAAACTGGCACCCTTTGACGCCAAAAATGGCGGCTTCGGCACCAGCCCTTCACACACGCACCAGCCAGGCCACGACCACGCACTCCACATCTGGCCCCTTGTAACGGACGGCGTAACGATTCCCAGACGCCGGCCCACCTGCACCAATTGCCCCGCCCCTCGATGTGCTCTCGCTGCCTGGGCGCACTCGGTCTTTTCCATGACTTTCCACTCACCCTCCAGGGGGATGCGTCATCCAGTCACTCCTCACCCACCAAAACGCTCTTCTGTCTTTCGCGGCGCCAAAAATGGCGACCTTTAGTCCAGCTCTCATTGGCTACGCCGGCCTTGTGGTCGCTGGCCATAAAACCGCCAACTGCCCTCGTCCTGCTCTCCCTCGTTCGCCTTCATCTTTGCCTTCCCAGGTTCCCTCGCTGTCCTCCACGCTTTCGCTTCACGCTCTTTTGCCTGCCCTCTAAGTTTTTTCTTACACTTTAAACGGTCGCCTTCCGTGCCCCTTGTCTACGGCTTATGCATCTTCGACTAGGCCGATCTAAGCATGTCCTCTGCGTACTCTGATCTCGTATTGTCGGACCAGGCGCTGGGGAATGAGAGTGACACTTCCGGCGTGTCTTTTCGGCCGGACGACAGCGACAGCGATGAGTCGGACGCCGATCAAGCCCCAGGTTCGACAACTCAGACTTCACCGGAGCCTTCACGGTCTTCTGAACACTGCGACGGAGTCTTGAGTAGCTCTAAACCCTCCGTGCGCGGCTCTGGGATTTTGCCAGATTTTAGTGACGACCCCGATGACGACACTGACGAAGATATTGCAAACATTCCTCTTGACTATGGGCGTGCCGAGGGGACTAAAGTTCGCGGGGTTCGAATTGAACAACGTTGGCATAAGTGGGCGAACCTTCTAGGACTTGCGTTCAGATGCGTGCTGACATGAATAGGTATTGCCGAGTGAAGGCTCAAAGCCCTGATGCGCTTTTAAAGTGGAAAGACCCGACGGAGGCTGTTCGTCAGGTCACCCCTAATGATGTACATCGGTTTCTCAACTACTGCCTGAAACTGAAGTATGGCCAAGATGGTAGGCACTTGAAGGGAACAAAGAAAGCTAGCGCCCTCAAAGCCGATTGGAAGACTTTCCGAGGCTACTTTCGAAAAATAACCCGTACCAGGGTTAGCCCTGAAGATAGCGAAGAGATCAATGCGGTAAGCTGCCTATCTCTCACGACGTCTAGAGCTAATGTAACTAGGGGATTCGGAAACTGATCGACAAATTCGATCTCGATCAGCAAGAGCGAGGGAAAGAACCAGTTTATGTACAAGACTTGACCGAATTAAATGAGACCATTCTTCGAACCCAGGAAAGGCGATTTCATTTTGGATACGAGCGTATTCAAATGTGTCTCTTCAACATGCTTGGCATCTACACCGTGAATCGACTGAGTGCCCTGCTTTCGTTACAGCTTATACATCTACAGTTCTCTGTACAGAAGGATCCTCAGGGTGGCCCTCCTAGGCTTCTGGCGGAGATCAAGTCAGAGTACACGAAGCGGTTCCTCGGGTGTGAGACCGTGTACGTATATATTATTCCCCGATGCTAGGTTCGGTGGTTGATTTCTTTTAGCAATAATTTTCCACTCCCTGAAATCATTGACGACCCGTCTCTTATTTTCAGCCCGCATGTATTCATCTTTGGTATACTCTTCCGGCTGCAAGCTTTTGAATCTCCAGCCCTTTCCTCGATAGAGAGACTCCGAAGTCTCTTTGTTCAAGGCGGTCGCCAGCAGATGCCCCTCCCCTTAAAGCCTGAGGTCGAGCATTATTATATCTTCTGCAAGACAGAAGTTGTCGACGGGCATCCGGTTCTTCGGTGGGATCAGCATATAAACGGTCCTACTATGGCCGCTCGACTAAGGAATCTCGGAGAGATTCATGGTTTGCTTCAGTCGATGTTTGCGCATCGTATGCGCTATGGAGGTGGAAAGATGTTGAATAATAGTGACGCGGTCAGCGAAGCCCAGCAGAATCTGATCATGAAACACGCGGATTCCCGCACCTTCCTAAAGCATTACCTTCCGCGACACATTGACACGGATATGCAAAATGTGATGAACGGTCGTGAATCCAACAGATCTCTTATGCGCGCAATCACCCGTATGAGCAGGTGGGTCGATACTAGGCGGCCTCGACACCTAACAGCTGAGCAACGAGCGTCGATCCGTGAACACCCAGAGTATGTCGACGCCGTCCGGCGATTGGATAAGCAAGCTGAAGTTTGCATCCATGACCCGAGTGAGCAGATGCGATTGCAACGTGACCAACTCGCACGCGAAAAGCTTAACACGTTTGGCCGGCTAGAGAGGGCATTGAGACAAAAAGTCCGGAAGGAGTTTGACCGCAGGCAGGCGAACATAGACATTGAGCGACAGCTCTCCGGAGCGGCTATCGACGATGAGGAAGCGAAGGATGCACTACGAACGGACGGTATGCTGCCAGAGCGGGTTAATCTCCTCGAGAAGTTGTTAACATGGCCGACTTCTGATTCATTGGAGTCAGAGTGGCGGAGACGGAATGCGGCTGTCGCCGCAATCTCGCAATACTGTTATCACCTTGAAGGTGGGCCGCTCCGTGGACGACGGAAACGGCCAGCTCCAAGCGATGAGCCTGATAAAGAGCAGACAACAATGGAAGCGCGAGCAACAAAGACAACCTCCGTCTCTCCCGAAATTTCGCAGGAAGAGCTGCTTCTAGAGAAGGCAGGAAAGTATATCCGGAAGGCAAAAAAACCTCGACGATGTTTCCAATGTTACGGCGACACCTTGCTTCCTATTCATCGTCGAACACAGAAATATAGCGAATACAAATCAACCTTACGACACTTTCGAGAAAAGCACTTGAAGGATCGGAGATGTCATATGTGTAGCGAGGATCTCCTACACGAAATGCATCTTCGTAGGCACGCAGAGGGTGTTCACCGTCTCGCCACTAAACGCAGTTACCACGCAAAAGAAGACTCAGGATCGGACATTGATACGGACTGACTAAGACCTGGAATCTGCTGGGCTCAGGCGACATGTCGGTCTTAGCGGACATTAATGCGGGTGATTGTGATGGCATAGTCGAAGTGGATGTTGAAATTTCAGCAGATAAGTGTTACGCACTGCAGACTGGTCACAGTTAGGGTTAGTAGATCACGGGTTGTACTTGCAATAGGAATCTCCGAACTTCTAACGTCAACGACCTGTCTCTCAACCGTACTGTTGCCAACAGGCCTTACTGCAGGTTAGGTCCTTTTTGAGGGTATCGAGGAACGATGCCAGGTAGAGCGCTCAGTGGGTCTATACCGGGGTATTGGCCAACTAAGGGGTGTCAAGTAAGAAGTCACACTGGTAATCCAAAGGTAAACACAAGTAACAATGTATAAATTGAAGACGAAGAACTAAGCTACGTACATGAGGGAGTGTGCTTATATATCCTTCGTTTCCTACTGCCTGGGTGACTCCCCTGGAGTCACCACTGGAGTCACCGTATACCCCCAGATATACTCCTCGGAGTAGATGCAGGAGTCACGGTCACGCGATTGGTGCATTCTGGGGGCCGCCCCTGGAATGAGCTGTTATATTGCTGTTCACGTGACTCCTCTCATCGGGGGGGCGCCCCCCGGATGAGTATAGGCAGGCGGTATGGACAGGCAGTTTGGTTAATTGGCCCTCGGCGGCCCGCCCGTGAAACATGTGGGGTTGCCATCGATTGGTAACTAATAACAATAAGCTTAACTTTAGAACTCTTTTCACGGGTATACGATCGTCAGCAAGACTCTAACATGTTTTATAATGATAGTACCCTTCATCGCAAAGATTTATCACTACAGCCGAGTGTAAAACCAGCTTCACCGTTATACACTCTTCTCTTGATTCTAGACCCCACTACTAAGAGTCTACTTTGAAAGGCGGGTGCTATGCTAAAATAATAACATAAATTTATCAAAGTCAATGAATAATATATTGAGAAACTGCTTCCATACGGACAAACAGATCGCGGTTTCAAGAAGTTCTCTTCTCTTGGCGTTTTGCAGCAGGCGGTGTTATCTCAGCACCCCACCGTTTTCCTGTTTTAACGTCATATTTGGTAACGTAGTCCCGAATTGTGTCCGCCGAAACATCGTATTCTGAAGGACCGAGATGGTCCCGTTTACCCACAAATAGCAGTTGTCGTTTCACGGCTTCCTCGAACTCCGTCCCTGGTTCAGGAACATTGAAACCGTATTCGTTGATCACTAAGAAATAGTGGGTTCTGGCAAGATTTGATAGAGTAGAGCGTAGTAAGAAGTTGCCCGGCAACGGAAACTTGAATAAGGTTCGAGTTTCGAACAAGTATAAAACGATCAGACAGTTATTATTCGATGCAAACCAGAGCTGAAGCATATCCTTAAAGCCTCGATGAACAGAAATCTGAACCTCGCAGCACATTGGCTGAGGCTCATCTTCGAACCCCGCTGCTAAGAGGCGCTGATCAAGATCAATGTTTTGCCCCCCGTCCACCAAGTCTTGTTCAGTGCCCATGTCTTGATCCTCATTCACTTGAATACCGGGTATGTTTTGATCATTGCGCATGTCGGTATCGAGGCCTAGGTTTTGTTCATCGTTTATTCCTCGGTCATCTGCTGGAGCTGGATCGTATGTGTCAAGATCAAGCTCTTCTCCAGGGAGACCGGAATCCTCATTTCCAGGGAGTGCGGTCTCATTATTGAACAAATGTACTCTTTGGTTGGCAATGGCTTCATAAAGAGGTGACTTCCCGAAAAATGAAAAGACGATATCTCTTGTTATCGCTAATGAAGTAACATACTGCTTCTTGGGTTGATCCACACTGTAAATTTGGTCGAGGAAAATATGTTTTCGCTCTTGTTGATATTGAGCAGGCTTCGAACAATTGAATCGATGGTCTGCCATTGCATCATTGCTGTTTGTTGTATATTCAGGGCCGCTACTTTTTTCATCTTCATTTTTGGCCATCGCCCGCCGAATATCTCGTAACCGTCTTGCGCCTGTTTGGAGGAGACTCTTGTCTACCTGATAGAACTCTTCCCTGCAAAGTGATTGAAAGAAATCTTCTGAAATCTTCCGTTCTGATGTCTCTTCTCTTAAATTGCGAATCTGGTCTGAACTGAAGCCTAACCTCTCTGCTAATACTGCCATGTTCTGAAGACTGAACCCCTCGCTAGGCCAGAAAGATATCATTTGATGTTGTTTTGACTTAAGATATCGCTTTGCAAAATGTCTTAAGCCAAACAGCCATAGCTGCATGCTGCAAATTCTGAAGCTGTCCGAAGATGAAGATTCTAGGAGGGGTCGGAAGGTATGCTCGGATGTTTGAATCTCGAAATCTCTTCCGGTTCCTACAGCTCTCCATTGACGGAGTAAAGCCTTGTTTAAACTTCCTCGAAAGCGTGGGGGACAGAGGCGATGTAGAGCCTTCGCCGGGCCCTCTAGGAATATTGTATCCTGAACGAGAGTGTTAATGGTCAATATCCTCCCTGTAGTTGAGATAAGTCGGTGCAATAAAGCTTTCCGATCTTCATCTTTGATAACGCGTGGAAAGATTTCGCCTGATTCCATAAGCCCAGAAATGTGGTCGCTATCACTCTGTGAATGCTCGGGAATAAAGCCCTCCACAAGACGTACAGAAATTGAATCCACAATCAAGGGGTGTTCCTGGGCTATATTTGCCCACTTATCACGGATCAAGCAAAGGTAGTTATAGACAAACTAACATCAAAAATAAGCTAAAGCTATATTTGTAAGTGGTGATCTCACCTCGTGACACTTTAAGCCCAAAATTCTTTCTATCTGGGATGTTTTAAAAGGTTCCCAAAGCCCTATATAAGGGATTAATTGATCAAAGCCTCTAAACAGAAGCTTGTTATGCTGTAGGCGTTTGATATCTTTTTTTCGACCGTCGGAATCAAATCGCGCCCACCACTTCTGCTCTTGTGCAAGGTTTCCCAGGCTTTGATACTGCCGTAGGGTGCGATAAATCTCGCCGTCTTTAAGCTTTAGGGCATTTGACGATTCCTCTCGCATCTGACAGCATGCCTCAGTGGAGATACCTGTAATCCAGATGAGCGCTTACGTTAGTAGCTCTATATCAAGAAGCCTCACCCTCGAGGTAAAGATCAACCAGCCACTCGGCCTCCCCGTGTGCCTCGCCAGCCCTCAGTCGATGCTGGCCATAGAGACAAACCAGCTGCTGAGTATTCTTGAATCTTAGGGGGAGACGACTCGTTGGGTCGAGTAAAGTCTCCTGGGAGATCTCTGTGTAGGCAAGACCGTTCCTTAACGTTTCTTGGTCAATGATAGCAGCGACACGATACTCTGGTTCCAGATTCGCACATCCTTCAATCTCGAATATGTCCAGGATTCTTTGGAAATTTTTCTTGTCAAACTCCCTTGAACCTATAATTGCTAACGACTCGAATTTGAGGTGGCGTAGCTCTATAACAGCGCAGCCCACAAAACGCTGAAGCTTTTGATAGGCGACTTGGTTGGCTAAACCACCAAGCGTGGCTTCGGACAAGCTCATTCTCAATATTCTGCACTTACAAGAAGCTAAAGGGCTTTTTATCCTTTTGAGAAGATATACTAGTATATTTTGATAACTCTTGGTCTTCTTTAAGGCTTTATGGGACAGAAATGGCTCGCAGAACAGAAACGGCTCGCGAGGGTCCACCGAGTAGTCTGGGGAGACTGGGCAGTCTAAGTGGACCGAGCAGTCTGAGTGGACCGAGCAGTCTGAGTGGACCGAATAGTCTGAGTGGACCGAATAGTCTGAGTGGACTGAATAGTCCTAGTGGACCGAGCAGTCTGAGTGGACTGGGTAGTCTGAGTGGACTGGGTAGTCTGAGTGGACCGAGCAGTCTGAGTGGACTGGGTAGTCTGAATGGACTGGGTAGTCTGAATGGACTGGGTAGTCTGAGTGGACCGAGCAGTCTGAGTGGACCGAATAGTCTGAGTGGACCGAATAGTCTGAGTGGACTGAGCAGTCTGAGTGGACCGAATAGTCTGAGTGGACTGGGTAGTCTGAGTGGACTGGGTAGTCTGAGTGGACTAGGCAGTCTGAGTGGACCGAGCAGTCTGAGTGGACTGGGCAGTCTGAGTGGACTGGGCAGTCTGAGTGGACTGGGCAGTCTGAGTGGACCAAGTAGTCTGAGTGGACCAAGTAGTCTGAGTGGACCGAGCAGTCTGAGTGGACCGAGCAGTCTGAGTGGACCGAGTAGTCTGAGTGGACCGAGTAGTCTGAGTGGACCGAGCAGTCTGAGTGGACTGGGTAGTCTGGGAAGACTGGGTAGTCTAGGAAGACTCGGTAGTCTAGGAAGACTAGGCAGTCTGAGTGGACCGAGTAGTCTGAGTGGACTGGGCAGTCTGAGTGGACCAAGTAGTCTGAGTGGACCAAGTAGTCTGAGTGGACTGGGTAGTCTAGGAAGACTGGGCAGTCTGAGTGGACCAAGTAGTCTGAGTGGACCGAATAGTCTGAGTGGACTGGGCAGTCTAGTAAAACAGATATCTGCTTTTGGAAAAACAAGATCTACACCTAATCCAAATCTAGATTAGTGTGTTTCTGAACGGCTCGCGGGACAGAAACGGCTCGCAGGGGTAATTGGACAACGTTACCGGGCTTAAAGCACTCTACGCGGCATACTGCTTGACTGGTTTTATGGGTCTTGATACTGTCTGCATTGTTCGCACATTCTAAGGTATGCTATACGCCTATTGTGAGGTATCTACATGGCTGCCAATCCTAATGGCCCATGGAAGAACTTCAAAATAATGCCGCTTCAAACTCCAAGCACCACCCGGGTTTGCCAAATGGAGAAATTCATCCTGTTAGACGGGATCATACATCGTTAGTCCCTATGTTCGGACGAAATTCATCCCAGCATACCTTTAGCAATTCATCTGTCAATGAATTCTTCGTCTTTTCAACAAATATGCGTCCTGTTTCCGACAAAGACGGAGCTGCCATCTCAAGACCCGAATCCAGGAGTAGTGTAGCTTGATCACTAAGACTGATCACAAGCCACCCAAGAGATTCAACATCGCTTTCCTTGCCTTTAAGACCTTTCTGTTCAATGATACTGTCCCCAATGTTTCCTAGTCATAAGTCAACGCCGATCTCGAACGATTCCTTTTGTACTCACCAATCTGTAATTGGCCTGTCCACGTCAAAAGAATGCTTGCAATATTTATCGAGCCATGGGTGATCTTCAGTTCGTAATGAATAAACTGGAGACCTTCTAGTATCTCCTTGCAAATAGTCGCAATATCTGCTTCACTGAATTGTATCTTTCCTATTGCACAACCGAGAGATATAGCCAAGTGTTGGTACTCGTACACCAGGAAGACGCTTCCTCTATATTGAAATGCGTCTATAAGAGATATGAGATTCTTATGGGATATTCGTCTTAATTGTCGAAAAACGCGGTCCTGGCAGGCCTTCCGCTGCTTCAGGAGACAGGTAGGAAATCCCTCAACATCTTTGAGAGCAATGACGCCTGGTCCGGCCTGATCAATATTGTAAGATCTGTGATACTGGATTTGTGATCCCTGTTCGAACCCCTGTGAAGCAATTGGGATGGAAGCTGGGTTTACAGGAATACCAAATCGCGTGAGGGGCTTCTCTTGCTCTTTTATGCGATGCTCTCTATTCTCATTGCTCTCATGTTGCAATGAATGTGGTAAAACAGTTTTTCGTTTTGATGAAGACATAGAATATTGTATTAAAATTGGAACCTATGAAGGAAAATCCGTTTCTTAAATCTATGTGCAAGTAATGTGCGAGCCGGTTTAGTCTCCTAGGCCGCCACACCTAGTGCGCTAAGAAACTGCTCACTCCTATTCTGTAATCGGTGTAGACTGCGCTGCCTTCCGAGGTGTTCTCTTTCGGTGCCAATAATACGTAGCCTCCAACCACATAATCCTTTCGCTCTTGTTCCACCCTTATTGATATGCCGTATTAGCTCTATTGGACTGAGAGTTTATCTCACGAAAATGCTCCTCTATCACCATCTTCAGCTTCCTAAACTTGTAGATATATGTAAGGATCACAGAGGAGGCCACAGAGAGAATTGAAGCTATGAAAGTCAAAAGCGCCATTATTGACCAATCCCCGTCTTTTGCAGTGTATATATTGATGGTCGTTGTCAAGAGCCCCGCCAGGGCATTAAGTAGAGTTGGACTTATAATAAATAGATGTTAGTACTACTTGACTAGCGTATGCATGAAAGGGATACCTACATGAATAACCTGTTGACAAGCCAAATATAGTTGTGTTGGAATAGCCAATATAGCCATAGCATGATAGCACAACCAACCAAGAAGAAGACACAAGCTGTAGCTAGAAGTGGTGGATTCTGTATAGTGTTGAGGATAGCCTCCCCAGTCTTGTCTTTTATCAGTCCTTGTTTCAGTGTATCTGACTTCTGTAGTGATGTGAATGTTCCTGGAATGACCAGATATCCTGCAAGCAATATCCAGTGTGCCAAACTGGCGAGAATGTTGTATTCCCATGGTAGCTGATCTGAATCAACAACCATCCGTACGTAGCGAGTCTGATGGAAATCATTACGGGAAGCCATATTGTCGAGAGTAAGGAGGTCTTGGATTGTCCATGTTGCTTTTTGTTTGAGAGGAAATTGTCCAATTCTTTTATCTGCTAGAACAGCGAGGACACCAAAACGGAACGACAAGTCACTCAAAACTTGGTCAAAATCAGAGAACTTGGTCTTTTTCTAGGAACAAATATTCCTTGATTTTACCAATAGTGTTGCATAAGATCCGCCCCCTCATATACTAACGCCACCAACGAGATGAACATGCAACCCCTTATTCTGTTGTAAAGATTCGTTGATACGCTGACATTCGCGACAAGTGACCCAAAAGTCCCATTCCTGCTTTACCCAAGCAACGCTTCTTTCAAACATGATTTGATCCTTCTTCTTGTGGATAAACGCCCGCTGTTCCTTCGATGATAGAAGGTTGGTTTCCTCTAAGCAATTTGCGCACAGTGTATTGATATTGATGCGCCGCTTAGCAGGGAGTAGATATGACCAAACGCAAACAAGACACGATCCAGGCTCATGTGCTGTAAATTTGACCTTCATACGATGGGCATCGCTGTTATGGCAAGACACGCAAAACCAGGAGACAGTCCCTTTCATTCTAAGCAGTGTTAGTATATAGAATATTTGTTAGATAATATAAAATCTTACATTCAAGCCTAATGGGACTTGGGATACGTGATTTAGGGCAAAAGAAGTCAGGAATTAATGCCAAAGAATACCTTACCTTTATAAGTCTGGATCAGCGCCATAACTTGCTTCCATATCCCAGACCCTAGGTAAGCTTCGCGCGACTACTAGAGTAGTAGTCCAATTCACGCGGGCACCAAGATGCCGCCACATAACATGGACAGGTATATGGTGGTCCGTGGCACGACCCCACAGATCTACAATGAACAAAGCTACATATTAGGGGGGCCGGAAGGCAAGCTGGCCTAGAAGCCAAAATTAGGTCCAGGAATTAGTGGTGCCTCGACCCAAAAAGAGTGTCGCAAATGGTGTCGCGAAGCGTGCCGCAAAGGGTGTCGCGTAGCGTGCCGCAAAGGGTGTCGCAAAGGGTTGCCGGCTTATTGCCACTATTTTTATCATAGTGTATCAAGACTTGTCGACATTTAAATTCGCAGATACGGGACATAAAATCGTGATACTACACACTTCGTATCTGCAAATCGTTCTTTAATCCTTATAAAGATCTAAGAAATGACCTTCTCTATCTTCGTACTTCTCGCTAGCGTTTACATACGCGCCGCCTTAGGTGGCGCTCTCAAAGTTATCGATTATGATCGCCAATGCGTGATATGGTCTGATGATAACCATGGCTGCACGGGACATTCAGCATCTTTTGGTCTCCTTGATGGAGATGACTGTTCTGGTGAGTGATGGTTCCACCGATATACTATTAATACTAACGAAGCCCTAGATCTAAGCCAGGTTACACATGGTACCCGTAAGGACTACTCTAGGCTCTATGTGGATACATGTGGCACAGAAAACGACCAGCCTGTTGCATGGATAGAGGTAAACGACAATGGCATGGTTAAATTCTATAACCAAAATGGAGACGAGACAGGATGTACATTGGATAATGGATTTAAGGTTGGCAGCTCATGTACTGCTTCCAACCTCCCTTCTTCGGCGTCGTCTTCTCCGGCGTCGTCTTCTCCGGCGTCGTCCTCTCCGGCATCGTCCTCTCCGGCATCGTCCTCTCCGGCATCGTCCTCTCCGGCATCGTCTTCTCCGGCATCGTCTTCTTCGGCGTCGTCTTCTTCGGCGTCGTCTGGTCCGATCTCTAGCTGCACTAGGTCCGAATAAGGGAATCATTGGGGACGACACGAATGAGCTTATCCCTCAGAGTATCATGGATAGATAGCTAATTTGCCGACTCTGAGGTTGAAGGCTTACTTTCTCTCTTCTCAGGTAGAAATAGGCGGAAAGAAGTTTGATAGCATATAGATCTCTTTGGGTGTGGTTTTTCCCTACCGGGTTTTCCACATCACTAGCGTGAATGCGAAAGAACCATACAAATATAACCAGATACCCACGGCAGAGATTCATCGAACATAACATAGAGGCGTGATCTCATAGGACTAGTTAATTTGCTACTATATAGTAACCGGAGTGCGTGTTCTAGCAGCCAGGACAAATGCGATTCGAACTCTATCAGACAAGGCATAGAAATTATACTTGAATAAACGATAGTGCTCTACCATCTATAGATTCTTTTTTGTTCTCTGAACTGGTGTTGGATAGTAGGAGCCCTAAGAAAGTCAGGATACTTAAAGCTACGGAGGCTTTTT